CAAGATACTACCTGGAGCTATCCGAGGATGGATTGGTCGCAGGAGCGGTTATCGTAAACGCATTGGAACTACTCAACATACCTGTATGCAAACACTATCATCATAATTACATATTTTAGTGACAATATGAAAAATTTGACGAATTTTCATTGGAGTTTAACACTAGTGAAAAACATATTTCGCGATAACTGCACACCGTGAATATCGCGTTTTTCACCGAGTTTTACACCACTTCACGTAAAACGGGTTGTGAAACTCCATTGGTTTTCCTACGCTTCTACTCGAAGTCGTACGTAAATTTCGGTGTTAAGAACATGCACATAGTCAACCACATTTGTTGGTGACAATATGAAATTTCGGGAAAAATGGTTTCTGTACACTTCTACACATAGTTTCATAATGAGCTCAGCTGAGAATAACAAACATCTATTCCTCCAACACTGGAGTTTCATCCGCTTACGTGAAGTGGAATACGTTTTTCACCAGTGATATGAGAAATACTAGTGAGAAACATATTTCACGACTACTGCATATCATCGCATTTTTCACCGAGTTTTACGCCACTTCACGTAAAACTCCAATACACTATTACCACTAGGGGGAGGGGGAGGTGGCGGCTGTTGTTGATATGTGCCTTGCTGGTTGCCTTGACCAGGTTGTTGGCTATGAACTGATCCGCGAATGCGTTCCCTTTCAGCTTCTCTTCCTCTGAAATTACCATTTTTTCATCAGAAATTACTCCCCACTGTACCGGTCATGTTGATCCTTGGGCTCCACAAAAACCAACTGGATGACGGAGCTTTCGAACTGCTTATTATTCATCTCCAACATCGCTTGCTCCGCTGAGTCTTGTCGTTGATATTCCACAAAACCGAACCTACCATAATCGTTGAGTAAATTCGTCCGAAATGATGAGCGATTAAAACCAACGATAAATTTCAATCCTCGAACCATGTTTGAAATTCTCACGCGCCATACTCTACAAAATCGAATCAGGCATAATCGTTGAGTGAATTCGTCCGAAAAAGTAAGCGATTAAAAACAACAGTAAATTTTAATCCTTGAATTTGAAATTCTTATGCGCCACATATTAAACAAAACCGAACCTACCATAAACGCTGAGTGAATTCGTCCGAATGATGAACGATTTGAAGCAACAGTGGAATTCAACCTTCAAATTGTCTCCTGGCGAGATCATCACGAGTAATTCCTCACCGTCATACCATAAATCCGACACATCATTCGATGGTCATTTCCCGAATTTTCCAAATTTTCCGAATTTCACGAATTTTCTGAATTTTTCGAATCAAATTGTATCGAAATTTATAAAAGAATTTTCGGAGACACGACTCAATCTATATTGTGATGAAACATAATATAGATAGCTCTAATTTCTACTCAGTCTTATTAATAAGTGATCAACCAGTAAAGAATAGGTCTGAACGATTATACATGGGTGAATTTTTCCGCTCTCCCTATTATGACCCTCTCCACTAACCAGTTGTCGCATCTCTAGGAGAGCAAATTTCCATTATGCTAAGCCGATCCGAACGATTATACATAGGTGAGTTATTCCGGCCTCCCCATTATGACCCTCTTTACTAGCCGGTTGTGTTAATAAGCAGATTCGAACGATTATATTAGGGTGAATTATTCCGGCCTGCCCATTATGACCCTCTTCACTAGCCAGTTGTGTTGAGAAGCAGATTCGAACGATTATATATGGGTGAATTATTCCGGCCTCCCCATTATGACCCTCTTCCCTGGCCTGTTGCCGGATCCGTGGGAACATAAACTTCCCTTATATCACCAAATCGTCGAAATGCTCTATGGAGGTTATCCTTCGACACATCTGCTCGCTGAAAAATAGGAAAATTTTACACAAAAAAATAGAAAAAAAATATTACCAAATGCCTAACAAGAATCCTTTTCGACGCGTTTAGTTGTACCATAGTGACGAGGAAGGAAACTGCGAGAAAACAGCGCTGAAATATATGTTCGCCCTCCTCAAATGAGTTCAGAAGTTTCCTTAGTTTTTATAAGAGTATATATATGATTCGGAATAGAAATGATCAGAAACCAACGAGAATTTCCTCCCAGAATTTTCATATTATCACCAACACATGTAGTTGAACATGTGCATATTTCCTCCACACTGTAAGAAAAGGAGCGATGAACTCAACCGATGTACTTCATAAAAAGGTACGGTTAAGACTATATGGTAATGGTATTTCGGAAGTGTTGGGGGAGGTATGGTATTGGCGATCGACCCAGCAGAAAATACTGCATCATCATAGCGAGAATGTTCACGGCTATGCTGCCGAGCAGAGAATGTAGGAAAACTCTGACCTGAAAAAATGAGATATTTCTATTAATGGAGTTCCACCACGGTGGTGAAACTCCATTAATAACAAGATATGAAAAATATATTTCACGACTACTTCGAATCTCGCGTTTTTCACAGAGTATTACGCCACTTCACGTAAAACGGATGAAATTCCACCATAATAAAACCAAATTCCATCACTTGTTGAATTTCACAAAAAAATAATTACCTGAGTTTTCTGCATTTGCCCTTTTTCCACTCTATTACGACTCCTAGTCATCAGCGCGCCGATCATTTGAGCCTCGCTAAACAGCCATATCACTAGTGCGTTATAGCCGCGAATAATAAGAACGCATGGGAGAAAACCCGCCAGGATCACAAATGATGCCAGAGCCGTGCAGTACCTAACATCGGTAGTTATGTGTTAAAAAGTGTTGAAGTTAATATATGTTCATTTTTCTCAGCTGAGCCCAGCAGTTTACATACGAATTCGAGTACAAGTGCCCAGATATCAATGCGAATTTTCCCCGAAAATATTCACAAATGTTCACTACACATATACGTGCATATTTTACCGCACTCTATGAAGATACGAAACATGTCCAAAAACAACCTTGTGACAAACGATTAAACCCACTAGTTTGTACAACGTTTTTCCCCAATATTCTATTGCCCAAAACGTTTGACTTGATACTCGCTGGATCGAAAACTTCCTCATCTCGAAGTTGAACAGTAATTCTGTTATTATGAAAAAAAGTCGAAAAATAAATATTTTTGAGGAAAAAAAATTGTACAAAAATTTATTTATACGCAAAATTTTTTTTATAATATTACAATACAATAAACATTGCAAAAGAGCGTTGAGAAAATTTCGATTTGTATTAACGTAGAACCCAGCTCCCTATATGGACATCTTCATAATGATGATACCTATGTATAGTATAAATAGGGTATATATTTCATAGGAGTTTCACGACCCGTTTCACGCGAAGTGGTGTAATACTCTATGTGAAAAACGCGATATGTGGTGACTTGGAGAAAAACTTCGCGATATGCACTGCTCGCGCGTTTTTCGAAAAGTGAAAAGAAAATATGTTTTTTCATGTCACGGGTGAATCACTTATTAACAATATAATGGAATTTCACCCATGTTACGTGAAGTGGTGTAAAACTCGGTGAAAAACGCGAAATTCACGGTGATATGCAGTAGTCGTAAAACATGTTTTTCACTGGATGGAACTCCAATGATATTAACTATATGTTAGTAAACGACGGTTTACTAGCATATTATTAATTAACACTTTTTCCCATACCACACCTCTGTCACTACCTGGCAGTCCTCAATTTCGTCTGCTGATCAAGCCTAGAAGGTAACAATCCCACCTCATGAAGTAGCATATGATCAACCCAAAATTCGGGGTATCTTTAGGTTGACTACACAAGATTCAAAATAGGCCCCCCTACTTTGATAAGATATGCGCGACCGTTTTGGAGTCCTCATTGGAAAGCCCAGCGTTACGGTAAATATAAATCATCTCTTGCACTTCCCCCTCAGGAAAATTATCAACTTCCCATAACTCTCTGGCTCGTTCATAATCAGAATATTCAAGGCCCGCCTGAACGATGTAAAAAGTGGGTGAAAAATTCCGATTCACTTACTACCTTCTCCTTTATCCACAGCTGATTACTAGCTACTACAGCTGCGCAAATCAGCGATAATATGAATAACATTAATACCGTATTCCGCGCAATTCCAACCGTAAACCCTCCGAAAGCCGACACCAACAGAGACGTAGCCAAACTACCTCCGATGAGGCCTATACAAACGAAAATGATCACATCGCGAATTTTGCAATGTGTCGCGATGCACATTAGAATTTCGCCCTTTTTGTGAAATGGCGTAGATTTTCATGTGAAAATAGATATGAAGTGAATTGAAAATACTTTGCGATTTACATCGGACGAATCATCCCATTTTACGCGTTATTCACTGCTCACATGTGTTTTTCGTTCACTACTGTTTTTCCTATCACGGCTGAAACTCCACTAGTGAATTTATTTCCGTATATATACCAAATCCTCGCCACTCGTTTGGGAGCTGCTGAGTTCATAGCCATACTCGTACACTGTGAAAAGAATTTTGCTAACTATGAAAAAACTAAGAAAAGAATATTCATTGGAGTTTCACCCGTTTTACGCGAAGTGAAATGTGAAATGTGTTTTTCACTAGTGCTTTTTCACATCACCAGGGTGAAACTCAATTATGGTAACAGGAATTTATAACAAATTAATATAGTTTTTTCCCAGACGAATTCCGATCCGGAAATTTTTTCCCACTGATATTACACATATATATAAAAAAATCTTTTTTTTCGAGAACAGAAGCTCGGGTTGATTCTGATCGGGAATTCACCATTTTTTCGCAGAATTCCATGCGTAATTTTTCCCACCCATATTACACATCGGAAAAATCTTTTTTTCGGGAACAGAAATTTATCGTGTATAGTGTTTTCAGACTATTTCTGATTTCGGAATTAGTTTTCTTAATAATTCTAGTTTTCACTATCGTGATTTTGCCCTAGTGCGGTGTTTGAACATGTGCAGGTGACATCTGTGGAAATTCTGCAGAAAATTGAGGAAATTCTCATTGGTTTCTGCACACTTCTCCCCGAATTCGTATGTAAACTCCTATAATTAGTGAGGAAACTCCTGAGCTTAGCTCAGGAAAGCGAACATATATTCCAACACTGCCCTAGTGATGTGAAAACACTGTTGAAAAACATATTTGCGTTTTTCACAGAGTATTACGCCACTTCACGTAAAACGGATTGTGAAATTGCGTTGTATTTTTACCCTATTATACTACCCGATAATGCTTGTGCTTTAATAACATCATCGTCTCCTACGCTAACCAATTGACTCGTTTCCCCAGAGGCTATTTCAGCCAACTCTCTGGTTTGATGGGCAAGACGAGACCTGACAGTATTATGCATATAATCAACTACATGTGTTGGTGATAACATGAAAATTTTGGGAAAATTTTGGGAAATTTCTGTACACTTCTACCCAGTGTGTGAGAATACGTACATGGTCAACTACATGTGTTGGTGATAGTATGAAAATTCTGAGAAAATTTTGGGAAATTATTGCTGGTTTATATGCATTTCTACTCAAATCCTTACATAAACTCCTATAAAACTACTGCTCCAACACATATTCCTCCAACACTGCGTTTCTACGCTTTTTTCATCCGTTCTTACAGTTCGGAATCTCCCAAAGCATACGCCTCCCTCGCTGTTTGAAGGTCTCGGGGTATTTTCTCGTTGGCTGCATAGCTGACTCCTCTACTACTATCACTACTAGGGTCGCCTCCACCTAGAGGCTCCTCTTGTATAGTGGGTGGTCGGCGGCCACGATGAGTTGACATCACTAAAAAAGCAACAGAAAAAAGCATTCGGAATTTTCTATTTTCAGATTGGAGTTTCACCACCCTAGTGATAGTAAAAACATATTTTACGACTAGTGCATATCACCGCGAATATCATCGCGTTTTTCACAGAGTTTTACGCCACTTCACGTAAAACGGGTGAAGCGTTGATCAGACAAACAGCACGAAATTTTGAAATTGATTTTTAGAGTGAAAAGTAAAATCGTGATATATCAAAGGTAAGTCGTAGGTAAGACGTTCATCAACTTTAACGAGCCGAACAGAACAAGAGGCTGAAGTTGAATTTGATTTTAATAAATGTGTTATTAGGTAGAAATCTTGCTCTCTTGCATTTCCTCAACGCTCCTCCGAAGCCCGACGTCTTCTTGGGCGGGTGCTTTCAACTCCTTATTTATGGATGTACTTTTGTTGTGTTCAGTAATATGGAGGTTTGGGTAGTTGCCACTGGTTTATTAAACCCGTGGCGCTTCTAAACTTTATCTCCTATATACAACATCCTAGTTATAACGCACAGGTCAACTACATGTGTTGGTGACAATATCGCAGTGCTGCGAAAGGTGATTGAGTTGCTCAAGATAAGAGTTATAGAAAATATATAAAAAAAGTTATATGAGTTCTCGAAACAAGGAGGCAATACGTATGTACAAAGCGGGATCGATAGTGACGTGAGTACGTAGCTTTTTCCCTAAGAGGCTCGATCCGATTAATAAGGATTGTGGTTCATTGAGTTATAATACCAGAGTTATTAGATCCTCATCAATAGATGTTATTTCAGTGTTTTCATACACTCACTAGTCTTCGCCACTCTCCAATGGACGTTGAGTTTTCGGGACTAGTACAACAATATTAAAATTCTGAGAGGAAATTCTCGTTGGTTTTCGTACTGCACTTCTACCCTAAGCTCAGTAGCTGAGGAAAGCGAGCATATATTCCTCCAGCAGTGATAGTTGGTATTATGGGAGATCGCATCAAAGTTGGCATACGCGCGAGACCGTTGAACAATCGGGAGAAGAAGTTGGGAAGAACAAAACCAGCTATAGAGA